AAAAATAAAACTAACTAATTAAACTACGAAATATAAAAACAAGAATTAGAAAAAGTAAACTACTAATATTCGATTGCACTATTGCCAATCCCCGGCAACGGCGCCAAAAACTTGTTATGGCGTTTAAACTACCTAAACTAATAAGTAATTCAAACCCAAGTTATAATCGCAAGTGCACGAGTCTATTGTAGTATAGTTATGAAAATACGAGTCGATCCCAAAGAGATTGTTGTTCAATCGAATATTAGAAATCTACTTAAACTAATTTGAAAGGGGTTACTGAAATATAAATTAACTAACTAACTATATCTATGAAAACAAGAAAATTGTGATTTAAACAATTGGGAAAAGCACTAGGACATTCGAATCCACCCTAGATTATCATAGATTTCTAATTGTTTTACTGTAAAGTTCTCTCTTTTAAGCGAGTAGCACGACAAAAAATTAACCCTAGCTTTCTCGAAGATGTGATCGTTTAAACTTTATAAATTATAATAAAAGTAAAAACTTTGTTTTGGTTAATCTCAGCAAAAATATAAAATCCTAGCAAAAGTCGTCTATTTAAAGTATGAACTTTCACAAATTTAATAAAACGATAAACACATGCTTTGATATCATGAAAAAAAAAAATCAAAATACCAACTAGTCAGATATGAATTTAAACATACTAGATATAATTGGTGAAAGCAATTCTCATAAATATTGAAGATTAACCAAATTTAATTCAATTAAGTGCGAATTCGAGAGAACGATACAATGAAACAACTAAAAATCTACTCAAATCTAGGGCTTCATCTACGCCCTAGTTGGAGGGTTAGCTACTCTTCTTCAATTTAATATATCACAACCTCTTTTTCTCTAGGTTTTAAAGTCTTTATATATAGAAGAAAGAAAGAGAAAGATGGCTCGAGATAGATAGAATTTGAGTCAGTCATTGAGAGCTTTACTTTAAATCAAACAAAGTTTAATTTGAAGTAAAGTTCCATTTGATTTCGGCAACTGGACACCTCCCTTTTCTGTTCGTGTTTCTCTTGAGGAAGAATTGCCTAGGGTCTGATCTAGTGGACTTGATAGTACACCATTGTATTTCACTTCATACATATCCAATGGGCCTGGCTTCTTGAATATTTGGGCTTCAACTGCACTAACTTGTGGGCTTCCACCAATGTAAGCTCTAGCTATTATCTTCAGCCCATTGCTTTACTCAATTGTTGTTGCTGGTTTGTCTTCCATTTGGTTGCGCAATATGTCGTTTTTCGATAATTGACGTGCAATTCCTATTAAACGATAAAAACACAATAACATAATGAAATCTTCCATGTAATACATCTAACTACTATATATTTAAGTGCCAAAAGTGTTGTATTTTCATGTCTATCATTGCCTTATTGGTTACTTCGGTGCAATATAGTCAAGACCATGTTCGTAAAGAAAGATGAAAAGGATGTTCTTGTGGTTCAAGTATATGTCGACGACCTTGGTGTTCGGTGCTATGAACAGAAGTTGGTCGATGAGTTTACTACTCTCATAAATAACGAGTTTGAGATTAGTATGGAAGGGAGTTTTAACTTCTTTTTAGGCTTCTAGATCAATCAAACAGACAGTTGGTTATTCATCAGTTAAACAAAATATGTGGGATCTTTTTAAGAAGTCTGACATGGATTCCGTTAGTCCAACCAAGACACCTATGAGCAATGATTGCAAGATCACTAAAGATGAGAATGGCAAGGATGTTCATGTCACCCACTACAGAAGCATGATTGGGAGTTTACTCTATCTCAGAGCTAGTAGGCTTGACATTGCCTATAATGTTGGTGTTTGTGTTATGTAGCAAGTTCAGCCTGAAAAGTATCATGATGTTGCAGTAAAGAGAATCATTCGTTATGTGCGTGCGACGCTTGGGTTAGGCTTGTGGTACCCCTTTGAGACTTCTGCTAATGTTGGTGGTTACTGAAGAATCACTGCCTACAGAAATGTTGATTGGGTAAGTTATGTAGAAGATAGAAAAAGTACTAGTGGAGCTTGCTTCTACTGTGACAACTGCTTGGTTCCAAGGCATTAGAAGAAGCAGACTTGCATTTCATTGTCTACCGGGGAAGCTGAGTATGCTGCAGCAAGTAGCAGATGACTGATGCTATGGCTCAAGTACATGCTTGTAGACTATATTTTCTCTCAAGACACTATGACTTTTTTCTGTGATAATAGCAGTACCATAAACATCTACAAGAATCTTTTTCAACACTCTCGAACTAAGCATATTTATATTCGCCACCATTTCATTAGAGAGTTAGTTGAGAACATGACCATTGTCTTGGAACACATAGACCCCACACATCAGAAAGCCGATATCTTGACCAAACCTGTAGACACTCAGAGATTTTACTATCTCAGAGCGGCTATTGGCCTTCTCACCTACTCTTGACTGGGTTGTCTTGGACCTAGGCTTTACTTGTACCTATGTGCTTAGTCGACCCGTTAACCGAACTACGAGGCGTTTGATCCCTCGATACCCCTATGTATATATTTATAAGTGGGGTACATTAGGGGTGGCAATCATGTCGGGTTCGGGTTCGGGTCGGGTTGACGGGTCTGAAACCCCTGACCTGATAATCTAAACAAGTCAGGTAAGTAGACCTGAACCTAACCTGTCAAGTTATCAGGTCAACCTGAACCTGACCCGATATAACCCGAAAATAATTGCCTGAATTTCTAATTCCAAATGAATACTGAATGTCTGAATCATACTGATATTCATTTAAAAAATCCTTCTGATATGCAAAAATGCATAACACGCATAACGCAAACACAATATTGTTTTATATTGTACCCAAAACGCAAAGTCGCAAACACAAATATTACATAATAATAATTCAAGTTCACAAGCTTCAAATTCAAATATTACATAAACATTGTTTCAAATTCAAAATCCTATACAACTATACGAGCGTCAAATCCTCATAGGCCATAGGCTAGCTACTTTTTATTTTCATTGGTCTGCAAAACAAATAGTCACATTTTCAGTATATATATATTGGCTTCAAAAAGGTAAACTATACATAAATTTCATACCACACCAAGGGTTCAGAAGAAAAGTCATGTCTAAGAGTTGTGTACCACTCTCATTAACAACCAAGCTTAACTTAGAGTAACTCAGATCCATGTAGGGTAAAAAAGCAAACCAGGAATGTTTTGCGATCAATGAATTCACTACTTTTGACTATAAATAAATTTAAAAATTTCTCCACCAAAGTAAAAAGTAAAGGAGTTTTTATTTCATAATGTACTACTGCAAGAACAGACCTAGTAGATTTTATATCAATAACACCAAAACATAATAATTACACCCAAATATTTTCTTGTATAATTCTAAATTGCACTTAGAAATCATAAACACTACATTTCAAAAGTAAAACACTATACTTACATATATGTAGATGCGGGAACAAGTGACCAAGTGTGTTGACGCAGTAAAACATTGAATTCATCAAGCATAGCAGCCCGCCATTCAGGAAACTTGGATGTTTCAGTGTAACATGTTGGTTCTTCTATAGGACTATTAACCACTGCTTGAAAACATTTGGGTAAGGTATGTTTGCTCACAAGGTCAGTATAAGGTACTTTTGGTCGGCTAATACCCGCACGAAGGCGAGTTACCATTGGGTGTAGTGAAGTGGTTACATCCAAATTATCAGGTGATTGTGGTAAAGGAGAGATAGTCTCTTGTGGTGGTTGGATTTCTTGAATGGGTGCGCTTTCATGTGTTGGTGGAGTTTCATTTAATTGGG